ACTATGTTCAAAGGATTCTCGTGCTTTAGTTGAATCAATTATAAATGATACAGTCAAAAATCAAAACGGTAAATAAGTAGTAAACATATAGAATGTCTATATATTTAACAGTCATTTCAAGTTACAATAGATAATATTTTACGGACTATCTGGGAGTACTATCTATAAATTTTCAATGGGCTATGTCAGAACAACATTTGTAACTTTTAACAGATTATCTTGGAATACGAGCTATAAGTTTGCAAAGTTTATCCCATGGTACTATTCAGAGTTTCTTATGGACTAGCTCTATACACTGATTAGCTACAAATTCGTTATACTGTTTATAGCAATATTAATGCCTATCTTGACGTAGTATTATTCGTAATTGTTTGCAACTGTCTCGAATGCCAACAGTAATTTCTTGGGAATCTCTTAAGCGTGATATTTCCACGTCTTTAGAATTTATTTGCCTCTTATGCAAGAGTCACTCTACGATGACCAAGATATATTATCATAGAATCGCATTAATATCAACCAAAAATAGTATTAGTGATAATAGTGTTCCTATTGAGTTTACATAAAGTCAGAATTAATGGTGGTCAGTAATCGTGAAATTATCGATTAGGAAGAGAAATCTTTGATTTCAATATTTTCTTTAGCAAGGCAATGGATTTCGATGAAAAATTTTCTTGAGGGTTTCAGCGACGATTCTCATTTGATCGGATGAACTTAACCTCTCAAATACATTTTGGGGGAACAAGTCATCAGTGTTTCGTGATTCTTGACATGTAACTCTTTTCATGAAATTTAGAAGAAGCTCATTATTATCAAAAAGTTTCTTTCATTAAGGAAAACTTAAACTTTCAAGATGTTCAGGATACTAATAAACGTAATACAATTGACCTCTTTTAATATTGATCCGGAACTAAATTAGTGTCGATGGTACAAGTATTCTGCCGATATCATTGTATCCTCGCTTTCAATTTTGCATCTACTATTTTTTTTAATATGCAAAGCAAATTTCGAATTTTCTCAATCTTTGTACTAGTTTGTTGAAACTTCACTTTTCATTCTGACTTATTGTAAACGAATTTGGTCTTTCATTTGTTACTGATTCCATTCTTATTGGCCTCTGGCTTTTGATCAGCAGTGTTTTAACTTTTCAAAAAGGAAAGTTTCCTCCAAACTATGAAGTTTCATAAATTTCTGCAACGCACAAGAACTTGCAAGAGCAGATACTGCAAATACTATTAATTCTTACAGAATACACACCCATATAGGAAATACCAAAATTTGCTCTAAGTTACAGAAATTCACCACAATATAAGAAGGAAATTTGAGAAAGATATCCATCTTTACACACTAGTGGTAAGGAAATTTCAAAATATCATTTCTAAATATCAAAGTGACAGCAGTCTACAAAAAAACCTAAGATATATCAATGCATCACGGAAATCACTCTAACTATCGCAGTGTCACCAGGAAAACGATGTATATTTTTTCCAAAATTAGTCTAATATGCACAGTAAATTTTACATTCAGTTTCAAACTCTTTTCCAGTAATCAAAAAGATCTTACCGAAAGGAAATGCATCATTTAACTTACCTGCCCACTAGAATTTTTTTCTTTTAAATATTTTTTGTTGGAGTCCACTTGAGGATACTGAATCAGCATCATATTAGATTCTTAAAATGATAATTCAAGTTTTAAGTAAAAAAAACAGAGCTAAACGATATAACTGGAAAGCCATTAGTTCAAGATTTTGATACTAAGAGCAAGATTTCTGTTCCAAATAATCAGCATATCAAAATGCACCTTGGTGGAAAATTCTTTTGCATCAAAATTTTTGCCTGCAGAGGATAAAATCTAAAAGTACATACATAAAACGAGGCTGAGGAAGAGTAGAGTAAAAGCTTTTTTATGAGAAAAAATCTCCGGCGAAGTATAGTTTCTAATATATTTCGATACACTGATTCCGATAGTGATGGTTGTTTTGAACAGACATCTTGCTTTTAATATCAAAATCTAGAAATAATGACTGTCTTTTGCTATATCATTATTCCTCAAGTGTTTCTCTCCTAAATTTTGAATTACTATTTTAAGAATCGTGATCTTTTTTCAATTTTTTTATTGCTTTCATAGCTCATATGAAGCCTTACTAATGATAAAACAATTGACTTTTTAATAATAAGTGTCTTTATCAAGTTATCCGATGAGCTGCAAAATCAATGCATAACTCAGTGCTTCTTTTTCATAGACTGTACTCATTAATAAAGCTATTGCCTAAAATGATAGTGCTTCAGTATTCTCAAGTCGGCCCCAACAAAAAACTATTTCAAAGAAAAAACTCTAGGAGTGGGATAAAAGATAGTTAGGGTGATTCTCCTGCTACATATATTGATATATCTCAAGCTGTTTTCGTAGATTTCTGTTATTTTGCAATTTAGAAAGATTCTCGGATATTTCTTTACTATTCATGTGTAATGATGAAGACTTCTTTAAAATTTCCTTGTTATATTATGGTCAATTTTGTGATTTCGAGTAAATTTTGGTGTTTCTTCTATAGGTATATATATTATATAGAAATTTCTGACTCTATACTTTTTCTAAATACACCTCTTCGGGTGTATTAAACAATTAAGCTAAACCTGAACCAACATGATTGAAGAGAATACTTAAAAGTTTCTGATCAAATGCGTCGATGTATAACATTTTGTACTAAAAATACGAAATCTCATAGTACAAGAGAAGACCATAAAAGATTCGTATTAGGTAACTGGAAATGTGATCATGGTACAAAGCTATCAAGAGTTTCGCATAACCTGTACGGAATGATTGCACATACAATGGAATGACAAACAACTTTGTAGAGAGGAAGCAGAATTATTGGATATTTTACTGAACTATTTCTAGTGTTACTGAAAAAAGAATGAACCTCTGCTTTGACAAGGAAGCTCGAACTGATTCGACAAATATACTACGAAGTCATCAAAAATTTAGCTCATTATGTACGAAACAGTGAATAGATCGGCGCATGAAATATACGGAACCTTTGTATCACATACGAAAAGTTTACATAATCCACAAAATCGTCAATAGTTTCGTGTACATTCTCCAAAATCTTCAAAGCGTTTTGATTATGACTGACGAAACCTTGCGGAATCTACGGAACCTTAAAAAGTTTTGAATTAAAACTCCGGAACGATTTTGATCTTACCAAACTGAAAATTGTTCGGCGTCAAAGTTTAGAACTTTCAAGGTTCAGTAGTACACCTTTTTTTTTAGTGTATGCATTAAGATGCTCTGCTTGATATATAAATATCTAGTACTCTTCAGGTATGAAAAGAAAAGTTTTCGAAACAGTTACAGTTTGAATCAGTAACATTGGATATACAGAAGTAGTCATTCTAGGTGTATCCGCCACCATATCAATACAACGATAACCGCATATGATTGCTCTTATTTAAGATTGGATGTTGTCTTGTTTCTGGTATGGTCTATAGAAAAGCTTTTGTATTTGGTGAAACTTGATGCAAAGATTCTTTTGATGAAAAATTCAATCCCGACCTCAGGCTTTTTATCTAGAGAAGGAAATGAAATAGATATGTAATAAGTCGTCATAACGTTTTCATTTTGAAATTTACCATAGGAACTTTTCATATTACGATTCCAACCATTTCTGAAATTAACTAGTATCTGTGAATGTGGTAGAGGTTATATGAGAGTACAGGATTATATACTCATGAAGAATTATATACAGCACCCACGAGCTGCCAGTAACGCACAAAAAGATGTGCTAAATGGTGACTAACTGCAGTTGGAGGAAACTTATTGGAGGAACATTTTAGATAATTTGGAAACATTGAGAAAATATATACTGTTGATCTTTTACCGGTTTCAAAGTGTACGGGAAGTTGCAAAACGACTGAGAATTATATTTGAATGAAGCGTGAGAATAGCTGTGCAGGATATGGTCACTCTCAAAACAGAGAATTTCATGAAAATACACCGGTTAAAGAATTTAGATAAATTCGCCTAATGTGGTCTTGAATGGAATAGAATGAGTTTTTCTGTCTATTCACTCATCTGAATTCATTGGGGTGTCTATAAATTTTCATGTTTATAATTCGATGAAGATATTGCATACCAGTTTTACACAAATACCATATACAGAGTATTGATACCAACCAATATCATTTATTTCAATATAAAAAATTCCTCTAGATAAATATGTTTGTAACAAACACTAGTCGATTATAGGGCTAATTCATGCACTAATGGTCATACAGAATATAATAATAATTTTGAAGAATTACACTACATTTTTCTTCCACTTACTCTGACATATTATTCTATTCTTTGTAAAAATCTACTTAATATATTGTCCTTCGCGGAGTCTATGAATGTTGCTGTGTTATCATGAATCATTTACGTTTAGTTTGAGCATTGCTTGTAGAGTATCACTTTTAGTGGGTAATTTTCATAACAAAGAGTATCACAAAGATAGACCGAGATTTGTATACGTCTCCATGAAAGCTCATACTAACGTTTATCTTCGCATAACTGTAACGATATTTTCATATCGTTTGTTTTGATGATTTCTCCTCCTATTATCTGTGTCTTTTGGCTTCCTTTGTACCTTCTGTTTCCTTTTTTTCGATTTCATATATAAATATATCTGCTCTATATGTAAACAACGTCATGCTGGATATTTATTAAGACGTAATTCTGTCAATACTAACTCGTCTTCTATATAAAAATTGTCACAGTTGTGTTTATTGATTCGATGTATGACACTAGTTTCGATAAAGCTTATTTTCTTGGAGATCGATCGTCGGATGTTTTTCACCGACACAAACGAAATAATTGACACAGTAGACAAATTTCGACAACCACATGGTAAATCATAATGAATTTCTTATGAGATAATAGTCCTGATCATGATCAGACGATGCGATGGAAAACTTGTATCTTTATTAAAAAAACTGTTTGCCTTCTCAGAAGACATATGAAGAGAAATGTTATTGCACAAAGTAGTTTATCTTTTAGTTTTTGACAAAATACCAAAGCCAATAGCACAGTCAACCAAACCAAAGAAGCATATTTTCTTTGCCTATGCGGAAGAAGATGAGTGTGATGCGTCAGCCGCTGAAAAATTAAAAAAATATTTCGTCCAACGACGATTGAGAGTTTATCATCCTCGACAAAATGAAGATATTAATACCATAATTGCGAATGGCATTGAAAATGCTGCTGTGGTTCTAGTTTTTCCATCTCCTTCGTTACAAATATCAAAAGATGGATCAAAACTACTGAATTATGCTGATCAAACTAAAACACCTATTTTAACTATTAAGATTTGTGAAGATTTTCAACCTGTAGACTGGTTAGGTACTATTTTAGCTCCTACAAAGAGTTGTTCAACTGACTTTGACGAAGTTATGCAAACTCTGATGTCAATGGGAATCAAAACCAGTGACTTTGTTCTTGAAAGAGGTGAAGAAAACGAACCACAGCCAATAGAAGAGTATCTATTTAAGGGTGAAACGAAATCGGGGAATCTGAAAGCCAATTATCATCAATCTGGAAAAGAATATCCGATGGAATTTAGGGTATTTACTAAATTGAATTAAGATAAATATGAATATCTAATTTATAATGTTTTTTTAGTTTTTGGGTTTGAAACATGGAAAAATATTTGGTCAAGGAGATGATAAAGATGGAGCTTTTACTCTTGCTGGGAAATACAAGCTTGAAGATGGTTCTGGTGTTATCAAAATGCAAAAGCAATATGTTGGGAACGATTCTGTTAAATATCGAGGAAAGATTTCTATTGAAGCATTAAATTGTGTAATTGAAGGACAATGGAAAATAGGCAAGATGCATGATAAATTCTCCATGCATTTGATTCTTCCACGACTATATACAGCAGATATTGAAAAGATACCACCACCGCAAATATCACGAAAACAAGGAAATAAAGTTATGATTTCTTATTGTTCATGTCAATATGATTTAGCTCAAAAGATAACTAAAGGATTGATTGCTAAGGGTATTCCTGCTGTTTGTCCACCAATACGAGTTCATGAAATGATAAAAACAGCAGCTCACAAAGCAAGAGTCGTTGTACCATTAATGAGTAAAGCATATGAAGCATCTAATACGGCAAAATGTGTTCTATCATATGCCGATGAAGCTGGTATTCCAATAGTTCCTGTAAAGGCGCAAGATCCTTACTCGCAAAGTGGTTGGCTCGGCGTCATTTGTGCTGGTGCATTATGGGTACAAATGACGAATGCTAATGAATTTGAGAAAAAGCTTGATGAACTTATAGCACAATTACAACCATATGTCAACGATTGTGGCGATGAAGAGCAAGAAATGGATATTCTTGCTGATGAAGCTTTCGTTGAAGGTTATTATATGCAGTCGGGAGAACAATTTCCTTTGCAGTTTGATATGTTTACTATGGTAAATGGATATATTGCTGGTGAAGGAGAAGATGAAGTTGGTATTTTTGTAATCGATGGGAGTTATAATTGCTTACCGGATACAGAAGAGTTAGAATTTGAATTTGAAAAGCATTATATTGGAAAATATGATGTTCAATATTCTGGAACTATAACTGAAGAAGAATCTGTATTGTTCTTCGATGGAAAATGGTTTCTAGACAACATATCAGATAACTTTCATTTAGAAGTACCTCTTAATGAATCATCGGAATCTGAAAGTTTACATATTATGTTAAGTTATCAATGGAATAGTCAAGAGTTAGTTAAGAAAGTAGCAAATAAGCTCAAACAAAACAATATTCCGATTTGGTTTGATATTGCTGGAGATATGAAAGGTAATATCAATTCTGCTATGGCTAATGGTGTTGAAGGTTCCGCGATGATTATCAGTTTCAATACTCTCGCTTATAGTAAAAGTGTTAATTGTCAAAAAGAATTTACATATGCTATGCAATTGGAGAAAAATATTGTTCCTGTTCTTCTTGAGAATGAGAAGAATTTTCAGGATACATGGTTAGGAAATGCAATAGCTTCTTTAGACAAAGTGAGTATGGAAAATGAAAGTCTATTTGATTCCAGTTTTGATGTTGTTTTGCAAAATATTAAAAAAGCTCTTGAAGAGAAAGTAAACAAAGATTCTAATCAATCTGCAGTAATTACACGGTTTGAAGGTGGTACTGTTCATGGAAAATATTATCAACTTGATCAATCTTTTGATATGATCTTTGATTTCTTTAGTTTAACAGAAGGAAGAGTTTCAGGTCAAGGCATCGATAACGTTGCAACTTTTACAATGGCTGGAAATTATGATAATGAAGGAAATGTTAGTTTCAAAAAACAATACGTTGGAAAACATGCTATTGAATACAAAGGAACACTTGATTGCGATGAACTGGGCGGATTCAAGATCGAAGGAAAATGGAGTGTTGGTAGTTCAACAGGTGACTTTTACGTAGAAAGCATTGATGATAGTGAAGATGATAGTGAAGATGATAGTGAAGATGATACAATGACGAAAGACAGTTAATCACTTGTAATATCAGATTGTCCGAAAACTCCGTGCAACTACATCTATACTGCGTTTGTGAGCCATTAAATACAGTACTTCTTATAGTATGGTTTTATAGAGTACGATTTGCACGAACTTTCCGGATAATCTGATAAATAATATGTATATCATTTTAATTTTTTATCATTTCTTTTTTTCTCTTACGACAGACGTATTTGTATTTTAATCGAGTTGTGGTTGATATTTTAGCATTCAACATGAGATTTTCATTTCCAATATAATAAATAAAAATATAACTTACTATTGATGCACCATTAAATAAATATTTGAACTTCACCTAATTCCCTCTATGAGAAATACTTAGATCCATTCTTTTTATCATGAACTGAATATTTCGATAGTGTATTTTATACATTTTGATGAGATAAATCAAAATTATCGGAATCATCAGCAGTTTAACCAGGATTGTCTGCGTAATGTGCAACCATGGACAAGATTTTTATGGATAGCTAAAATTATTTTAATCTAACAAAGAATCCATATGGTCACAAAAAAACAAGAAGAATTAAATCATATTTTTCTTAAGGGTCCCCCATACCTAAAAAAAAAAAGCAATTTTCGACAAAAATATCGATTTCGAGTTTTATACATAGTTAGACAGCCCATAATCTCTACTTTCGAATGCACTATAATTTATTAGTTTTACGATGGCTTTTGACGGTTTTACAGCGGTTTTTCTGAAATATCCTTTTTTCATAAAACAGTGAGTTTTGATGGTTTTTTCGTGGGAATAACGCTTACAAATGGAAAAAAGTACGTCGCAATGTCGCTGCATGTGCTCATACGATTCGCCATAGTCGATAACCTATAATAAACTGCCTTCTTGTTTATTCACTACCATTTTTAAACGAAAAAATCGCGATAATCAAAGAAAAAATTGTTTTGTGTTT